GGTTCCCCTATAGAGAATAAATGAGAAACAAACAGATGTTTATTTACGTTTATTATATTCCTGAAAAAAATTTCCGAAGATTGGCTTTTTTCTTTGTAACTCCGTGAAAATCTCGAAATTAGCGCTACGTGCGTCATTTAAATAATCTTTATTCAAGAACACGTTACGTCATCAATATTGGCCGCAAGAATAAATGTTCGATTTGAGTCAGCGTCAAGTCATTGTGAGACAAAAAGACTCCAGGAATTACTGTTTGCACATGCACTCACTCGTGAGCACGCGCAAAACGCGAACACGTATGCACGTGCATACGGGTGTGTGTATATTTATCTACTAGCGTAGAGATACGTGTGTATGAATATCGGTAGAAGGAGATTATCTGACTAAAGCCCGGAGACAGGCGGCCGACCAATAGTTGTGCGAGCGATCCGCGGCCGAATGACCGCGTGATTTCGCTTTTTCGCGAACGAGCAACACGCCGCGGGGATTCCGTAGACATTAAATGAGATAGAGTCCCGATCTATCCCGTTGTGTGCCCTACCATGCCGCAGGAGAACGAGAGGACCATCAGCGGGTCGAACGGAAGGACCTTGACGAAAGACCGCCGCGGGCCTCCGGCCGAAAGTGACGAAGAGGCTCGGAGGAGTCTTGGCAGTAATAGGTCCGATGTCAAGGGGCAAGAGGATCTAGAGCCTCGCAAGGACGCGGACGACATGCCGGAACTCAAGGATCAGGAGGTGGGCAGCGACGACCAGGTCTTTCTGGATCTGTCCGAACCGCCGCCGGAAGTCATGGAGTACGCCAGGAGGGAATTGGGGGAGACCGACGAGGTCAAATGTCAGTCGTTGCAGGAGTTCCGCGATATGATTTACGGTAATTCGAATTGGAATATTGGGCGACTGAGGGGAAGAAGTGTCGACGCTACAAAGTGTCACGCGAATTGTCCTGCCGAGGGAAAAGTGTAGTCGCCAAGATTCGATCGAAGCAACAACTGCAACTTTGTAACAAATTGGTATTAACAGTTACGGGAATAGTGAATCAAGACATTTCTTCCTCTTGGGATATTAAAGTAAATCTTTCGAGGGGCGGATGTGTACAAAGATGACGAAAATTTCGTAGGATCCGTAACGTTTCAGACACAAATATTGTCGTATTTACATTGTTTGGCGAGTTTGTAATGTATGCGCTCTTTCGCAGAGAGAGGCGAGTGTCTACCGCACAGGATGGACGACGATTTTCTCATCAGATTTCTTCGCGCCAGGAACTTTAACATAAAGAGCGCACATAAGCTGGTGAGTTATAGACGTATAAGCATTGACAATGACATTTGCGATGAGGCGGACAGTTTAAATCGATGAAAGAGACGTATGCTTCTATTATTGAAAGCATCCTCGCGTCGATGTCATGCTTTTTGTCATGTAAAGTAGACGATAAGAGTTTATCGCTCACAGAAATAGAATATAATAGTCCCGAGCCGAAGATAAATGGTGCGACTAAAAAACTTTTTAACGGCATTTAAGTATTTCGCTCAGTATATGTTGTTGTCGAGAAATTTATGAAAATAAACACTTATTAACAACCGTAATTTGCAATACTTTGTGAGTAAAATAATAATTATGTCAAGTTATCGATTAACCTACTATTTCTGGAATACTATTTTTTAATGATTCTATGATATATTCATTCGATCTAATCACGTAACATTATCCAGCAGCTTCATGTTAAAAGGATCATGGAAAAAAAGACTCTTGACAAAATTATGGAGACTATTACACCGGTTTGCGGTTATGCGTACACAAAAACTAGTTGCGTAAATAAGAGTAGCCTTCAAGAAACCAACTTTACGCTTTACTACGTGTTTTCAATTTCGTAATTTACTTTTATCAAATCAATTCTTTAATCAAACAAATAAGATAAGCTGACCACTCGATAGAGAGATAACAATTAGATATACGAGTTTATAAAATCCATATTACACTCACTCGAAACGAATGACATTACAAGCCACAGTTAATCTCTGACATTTGTTAAAATGCATTTCTTAAAATACATAGATTTTACTTACATTTTACATTTAACAAATCTTGCTTGCTTCGCTATTAGAGAGGTTGCGTGAGTGTGCAAATTGTTTCGTATAATCAAGTAAATTATTAAATGTCGTTGCTAAGTGATACTTACCTTTTTTCAAAGTAATAAGATATGTATCCGAGTATGTATCTCTATCTTCTATAAATCAGTAAGTTTTTTTGTTTAGAGAATTGCGTCATTTACGTTTACAAATAGCGAAGTTACATACTCAAAACGATAGAAAAAATTTATTATCTACGATAGTTTTGTTTAACATGAGCCAATCAAATTAATATAATCACAGCAATTAAGTACATTTGTATCTAAACACTCTCCTGTTTCTAATCTTATCTTGAATGGGTAAATATAAATTTTTTATCATCGTACAAATTTAATTTGATATTCTTACTAACGTACCAGATCATGACAAATTATTTTCAATTTTTTTACTTGCCCGTTTAAAAGTTATTAATTATTTGTATGAATATTGCTATTTTAACATATGGTTTTACGGGAAATTCAGACAAAATTAAATTATTTAAAAAGTATAAAAACTCAATAGTAAAAATTTAATTTTTTTTATCACGTTCTTCAAACATGTACAAATGTTTCCGCGAAGTTTTAAAATGATTTGCTTGACCGTTTTGCATTATTATTAAAAGAAAACACTCATGTCTACTACATAATTCTTCCCATTTTTCAGTTTCAACTTTTTTATATTGTTGAAACGGAACGGTTAATAATTTTGATTTTTTTCCAGTTATTCGTTCTATTTTACTTTATAACATATTTATATTTGTTTCTCATACGAATCTCCCTCACCGTTGAGCTTAAAAATAATAAAATGTACCATCATTGTAAATGCAAATATTAATATTTTAATACATAATAATATGTGTAAATAATATTTCACGTGTAATAATATTACAACGGATTATATTGTTACGTGTAATAATATTTTTAACGTGTTTTACACGTAATATTTCGTGTAACATAGCAAACTTTAACTTTTTTTTTAGAACTTTGAGACGGTTAATTTTAATTTAATTAGTCTTATTTTGCACGTATTAATGTAAAGAATAAACTGTAGAAATTTGAAACAATTCTCACATAAATGATTTTACGAAATAACTGCCTTAATAGTGAAAATACATCGATGTATAAAGCGCGAACACGAAGTGAACCTTCTAGTTGCACAATTATGTCAAGGTAAACTGATCTACCTTTCAAGATCTGAAATACACAACGCGCTATTCCATGGAACTTAAAATTAGTAAAAGCACATCGATAGGATCTAGTCATTTAGCAGAACATTATTAAGTCATTTTTTTAGTAATTGGCCCAATCAATGGACGTGGTATAACTGCGACATCTTAATGAAAAAGTGGAATGAAAAAGAGAGAGAAATTTCAAATAATTCTTCGTCAAAACTAACATTAAGATGCCTCGATCATTAATTCTCTCACCTCCATTTGCATAAGAAAACAAACGGGTTATTCATAAACGCAATTCATGAACGGTTAAAGACTAATTGATTAAAGATACGATTTGCTATCTATAACGATCCAAAGTTCGCGATATATTTATCTGAACTCGTGATAATGAACGGTATGGAGTATTTATCAATGTATAATTGATTCACGATCTCATACATCATACTTATGACTTATGTAAATTTGATGGAATAATTTCATACGAACAACAGAGCGCGAGGCCGACTTCTCTAAAAAAATCTTTTGATAGATAGCGAATTACTACAACTTCAAAGAGGAACATCCGGAGATCCATCAGCAATTAAACTCGACCCAGATGAGACACATAGGTGACGACAACGTGATCACGGTACCAGCATACAGAACTCAGTGCGGCAGACGCATGATGATCTACCGTTTTGGCAACTGGGATCCGCGGAAATATCCTGCCGAGGAGCTCTTCAAGGCCACAGTCGGGATCCTCGAGCTTGGCATTCTTGAACCCAGACATCAAATCTTGGGAGGTTTAGCCATTTTCGATTTCAAGAACATCTCTATGACACACGCGTTGTCCGTGACGCCTCAGGTATATCGTTATCGAGCCTTCTCTTTCCCTTATTACACGGGACTTTTATATTATTCCCAGATTGCGACAAATGTAATGTGCAAAATTAAAAGGCGAGAAGAGAGCGCTACTGCAATCATGCGTGTCGGCGATAAGACATGAATCCATCTTCTAGGTGGCGAGTATGATGCTGGCTCTGATGGTGACCGCGTTTCCCAACAGGATACAAGCGCTGCACATCATTCATCAATCGTGGGTCTTCGACGCGATTTTCGCGGTCTTCAAGCCGCTGCTCGACGCCAACATGCGAAACAGGCTATTCTTCCACGGTAACAACTACGAGAGCCTACACAAACACATCTCGCCCGCGTACCTGCCGAAGACTTACGGGGGCGTGAGGAGTGAGCTGCCCTATTACAAGTGGCTCGCATCCATAATCAAAGATCCCAAAATCGTTGAGCAGATGAATAAAATGGGATATGTCCTCACGGACGAGATTCGCGATGCCTTCACACGCAATTAAAATCGATCGACTCGCGAGAGGGAAGTCGGGGGCTTCAGCAAAACTTTAAAACTGCTTACTTTTGTACACATGATATTTAGCAATTAGTTCGCACACCTTTATTATCGGTCTTGCTATTTAGTTTTTATATCTGTATCTTTGGACACTTTGCGATTAAACGATATACAATACGTATTGCATGGATTATTTGTATTGTTAATTGTAAATCGAGCTTAAGCGCGCGAAAACGTTTTATACTATTTACATCCAAGATGTAGGCATATCGTAATTGTGATTCGTGTTCAATGCTGGTTAACTAAAGGCTCAAATAAAAATTTCATTACGATCAAATGGACTGGAGTAATACCTCTATCAAGCTACACGTTACCTGCTGTTCCGATATTTCGCATTACACGATACGATGTTGCGATTGCAGTTATCATGCTTTACCGTGCCTAACAGCGTGATGCCCACGATAAGAATCGTTGTGTTTCTCCGCACGCTCCCACCTGATGAACCTAATGCTATTTTGACCCTTCGCCGAGTCACTCCCATCGACGTAAATTGATTTCCTTTTCCCGCGATTTATCAACGACCCCCGCGATCGAAACGATTATTGGGAAACGATCCATCCTGCATTGTGACTCTTGATTCATGTACGTCGCGATGCATGCTCCATCAGCTTAATTGAGACTCGGATTTCTTCCCCTTCACAGCGAGATCGCGACCTACGCGAGGAGAACCCGCGAATCGCGATTCGAGGGCCAATCGGATTATTAACATTTTCAGTATAAATGAGCAACGGTGGTTTTTCCGCGATGGTACGTGATCTGAAAAAGACAGCGAGCGCAATCCGTGCCGATGGTAAGCGAGTCGACATCCGGTTCTAAAAGAATTAAACGAAGGTGTATAAAAAGATAATTGCGAGGAAAAAAACTCAGGTCGGCTTATTGAAAGCGAATAATTGGGATTTAGAGTGAGTCGTGCCGACATCTTAAGAACTAATCGAATGGCTCTACAAATAATATAATCGTTTATTAGTTGCGCTCGCTTGGTCTCGTGCAGATAATAAGTTGCGATAATATCCGCAGTTGAAGATCACAAACCGACGAAGGTACAAATTGAAAGGAGAATCTCTTACTGAACGATTGATCGGCGAAACGTCGGAACAACGTTACGTAGGTATCGTTGTACGTAAAGATATAAAACTCCTTTAAATACCTAGTAAAAAGGAAGACAGTAACGAGAAGCGAAACAAGATTTTGAAATTGATCAAGAACTGGTATGTAATTAAAAGAATGAAGATTAGATTGCATCGCGAGTAACGATTTAATAAATAAATGATTCTGATCCCATTAATATTTTTTTATATTTCTGGCAAACACGCATCGTCGAGACCAAGATTTTAGATTTTTAACAGCATGCATCCAAAATTAAGTACGAGTAACTTTCTTCGAGATCGTGACGATTTCATGAAAAGAAAAAAAAATAAGTAAAAGACGAAACGTTTGTGATTTAGAAACTATCTATGCCCCCGCACGACTTCGTTTCTAATTCAACCTCTTTGGTTGAGAAAAAAGTGTACTTAATTTCCGAATTATTTTATATAATTGGAGTCAACACTGAAAAGTGTTTCCAGTTGTAACTTTTGCTAATTTCGGTATTATTTTACTGCTCTTCTTTTGTTGATAAATTTTTCTTTGGATAAAATCACAATATTCGCCGATCGTAGTATAAATCTTTCACGGTCTGATCGAGTAGAGAATCTCTGGACTAACAATAAGAGAGAGACTATATAGCGCCCAAGGGATTGCGCGAGCCAATTGTGCTCGCCTGTCCTAAAATAAGAACTCGGCCGCTCCGGGATGAACTCGAGATAGAATCAGGAAGATGAGACTGTGCGGGGGTGCAGTTAGGTCGGTGGGCACATAGGTAGGACCGTAAAGGAGGCGCAGGTAGGGCCTGGCGTCAACTGCTGGGGTTTGTGGTGGTTGATATCGACCCGGGTCGGAGGGTCGTGTAGCAGTCAGGATCGCAAGGCGCACGCCTGGACGTGGACGGGAGCGAGGCGCGACAAGGAAAGCGGCGCGGGGCGGCGAAATAGACGGAGATAAATAGACGGAGTGGCGCGGAGGGTGGTGAGGTGGGTGGACGGTCTCAATGTATATACGTGCACACGATCGTGGAGGTAGGTCGTGTAGAAGAGGTAGTAGGAACCCGCCGGTAGTAGCAACCCGGCTGGCTAGCGCACCCCATACGCGCGGGTGCCAGGCGCCGTGTCCCAAGAGAGAAGCTCAGTCCGGCTCGTCTTGGCGCGCATGTGTGCGTGTACGTGTGTGCGTGAGTGGTGCGAGTGTACGTGCACGTTGTCCTCCGGGTAACAGCTGCGTTAGCGGGCCTGGGGGAATCCTGCGGACGCTGATCGCTGATTCCGTCTGGGCAGACTTGGAGTTTTGCGGGCAAGGCGAGACTCCGCTCACCTCGTCCGCTCTCGTTCTTCGGCGAGGCGGTGGAAGCTGTGGGGCGAGGGAGATATCACCCGGGATTTCGTCCACGGGGTGTGTTATCCCGCGGAAATCACGGGGGCTGCTCCATGTGCATCCACGAGGAGGAGGAAGAGAAGGTAGCCGTGACCGGTCGATCGTCCCCATAGAGGAGGACGCGGCGGACGTGGTGATGCGGTAGAGTGTGGCGAGAGGAGTAATGTGACGGTGCGTGGTGCGCATACAGCGGAAGAGGACGACGACGACCGTCAAGCCGGCGCCATGTCGCAACGACAGCAGACCCCGACGAACGAGGATTCCTACCTGAGCTGTGGCAGGCCATCGAACCTGCTGAAGACGAGCTTCAGCAGCGCTCGCCTCGAGAAGCTCTATCGCGCCTCGTCGTTGCAGCAGCGTCGCGGCGGCCTCACGTGCTTCCTGATGTCGGCGATCCTGTACGGCCTCTACACGTTGTCGACGCCGGGGATGGAGCTGCCGGCACGTTGCGTCAGCGCCGTATTTCTCGGCCTGAACTCCGTTTTGTTAGTCCAGACCAGCTGCATCAAGCCCAGCACAGCGCGCACCTCGGTCTGGTCGGTGGTGCCGTGCGTAGTCGGACAGCTGTGGATCGTGCACCTGCCCGCTCAGCTGTTCCTCAAGTCCGCCAAGGTCACGCCGAGGGACAGCCTAGCATGGATGCTGCTGCTGCTCTACTTGCTGTTCGCCACCCTACCGCTCAAGCTATGCCGCTGCACGTTCCTCGCACTCGGCAGCGTGCTCGTGTACTTCATCGCCGTGATTGGTCTCTCCAGCGCGACGTTGGAGGAGCTTAAAACGCAGCCTGTCGATATTCTGGTAGGTAACAGCGAGGTCTCGTCTGCCTCGTCATGGAACGGTCAGGTCTAAATCGGCGCGTCTTCGAGAGAGAAAGAAAGAGGGAGGGGGGTTGGAATTTCAAATCCGCCCACCCACGAGATGATGCTCGAAGACAGAATTGGGCGACGTGGGCAACAGGACCCGAGTGCCGTTGAGATTGATTTCTTTAACTCGCGAACGCGTGAAAACACTTGTCGTTTAATCCACGCTAGCTATCCAAAGCTAGCGTAATTCACCACGTGACCTCTTTCCATTTATAGCGCCCCTCTATAAAGTTATTAAAAATAACTCGAATACTCATATACACTGCATTCTATATTTAATAAGTCAGTCCCTTCGATCGTGCCTAAAAACGGCGATAACGAGCTTAGAACGCAAATATCGCGACGTCTATGGTTGTCGTCACAGGGGAGATCGGGCGGACGAGGAGAGAGAAAAGTCCCAAGTTCGAATAACGTGTGCCTGTCTCATTGAAATCCGAGTTTCGAAGTGACGCGAGCACAATTGCGCGCGACATGAAGGAAAAGTGAATAAATAAACGAGTGAAAATTACGCGCGCGCGTGTTAATCGCGAGCGAGGGGTGAAACGCTTCTTCCGCGCTTCTCGATACGCGAGGCGGGTAGAACGTCCCCGGAACGGCAACGGTGTTGCCGACGCCGACTTCGACAAACTAATTCACTGTCAACCGTAGACCGGCCGCGCGTGCACCAACAATCGATCCAAGTTCAACGAGGCGTATCTCCGCCGCTTTTATGAATACGCGACACACACACACACGGTTGCGAAGAAAAAAAATAAATTAGAAATTTCAACCTGCGAGGATTGTTTCGCGTGAGGAAATCGAGGACTGAGTAAAAAAGGAGTGGGGCAGTTGAATCGCAATGGCCCTTTCTCATTCAAAATTGTGCTGTTAAATGGATCAAAATATCGGTTTGCTGAAGCACACGGAGATGTCTCTGAAGCGTGTGGGCTACGCTGACGACGTATTTAGCAGCACTTTTAATTGCAAATTATACTATTTTTGATGGTAACTCTTGACCTTCGGTACCGTGCCACCGTTAACGTTCTCCGCGACCGACACGAGTTACGCTACGTTTATCGCATATCGATACGTCACGTCGGAGATCAAGGGTACTACAACTGACTTCTTCTCCATTAATTACGGTTTTTGTAGGTGTTCGACAGTTCGCGACAACTTAGCTTTATTTATTTGGAATAGCGTTTTTGTAATAATCACAGTAGTTAACAAATTTTTACTTTCTTCTTGCTCAATCAATAAATACTATACATTTTTCAAGGTCCATGTATCATATATTTGAAGGAAAAAAATATACTACCGTGTCTTACTCTAATTTTCTTTTCCAAAAAAGTATAAAATATAAATCAAAATATACTTAAAATGTCTTGGGGCCATGTTGGTGGTACAAGTGAATTATGACTATAAATTAAACTATGAAGTCTTACATTAGTTATGAAGGCTCGTTATCAAGAATAATGGGACGAAAACATGATAGAAAAAAAGTGTCAAATAAAAATTGATTATACTCAAAAGCGCTTTAAACTAGGATTATTATAATATAATTACATGTAATTACACTAAAATAATTGCGTCGGTAATTATATTATAATAATTATTATTACTAAAGGTTGTTTCAAACAAATAAGTTAAATGATTGCAAATTATCGGACACTTACAAAAACGGTGATTAAGAGGAGAAGAGGTCAGTTATTAAATTGAAACTGTATTTGCTCATCGAGAATACCTATTGAAGCTCTTTGTGCCACTGTTAAAAAATTTTCCAACAATTGTCGCTATTAATTCACTAGATTCGTTAATCCAACAGATAATATATTTTAACGCACTGCAAATGCAATTATAATTATTCACCTCTGTGAGCATTACCTTATCTTATTATCTTATTTGATCTTATTTATCTTGTTTTATGTTATTTTATCTTTACAATGCCCCAGCAAGGCCCAGTGCCCGAGCTAATGCCCAAAAAATGCCTAGTAATGCCTAGTAATGCCCAGTAATGCCGCAAGTCTGTACACCACAATGCCCTCAGCGGTTTACTCCTCGTACGGCACGTTATGCTTATTACTCGTGGGCTCGTCTTATCGATCCCGGTACGATGTAATGTCATTGTTAAAGCGATAATAAGTACTCGCGCCACTGTGTACCGCCTGTAAAGTTGCAATCGTTATGTACCTTTGTTTCGAAGCGTGGCATTGAACGCACCGATAATTGTGCCGTAGTTTGTCGCTCCCGTGTGTTGCGTATGTATGTATCTCGCGGTTACGTACGCGATTTCAAGTGCACGTGTTGAGTCCAGCGAATAAGATATCGCAGGAAGAGTCGGGAGACACATGAAGCGACTGTTTCATCACACTTTCTCTCTTTCTCTCACTCTCTTGATATTATCTCCGCTATCCATTTCGTAACGAAGAATCGCACAATTATTGAATTAAATAAAATGATGAAATAATAAGTGCTAGAGTTTCCCAGACTAGAGGGATCTTTCATTTCGCTGAAACTGGCGTGTAACACGAGATATCGTATTTGTTTCGCTTTTCGTTCCCACTTGTGGTGATCAACGTTTTTTTAAATGTAAAGAGAATAATAATATTTTAATATTCTAGTTCAAATATTCTATAATCCGAGCATATAAGAGAATACTGCGAGAGAACTGATTCACACGCGCCTGTCGATTGTGTTACGGCTGGGAATTTTAACAGATAATTAGCCTCATCGATCTACAACGGCCCAGAACGGCTGATATAGTAAACAGTACAGGTGCATCGGCCGAGGCGTGCAAAACTTTTGGCAGCAAATATCGTGTGAAAGCGAAAGCTGGCAGTAGACGGGCACGTGGCCCCTGTCGTTAGTAACACTCGAGTAGAGTTTGGTCAATGGTAGTTTAAAATAGAGAGCGACGAAGATAGAGGCACGTAATGAGAGCGAAATAGAGTGAAGGAGAGATAGGAAAGAGAGAGGGACAAAGAGAGCGAGAGAACGGCGCTGCGCAACGATGCGAGAGGTTGCCTTTCGATACGCGACGTGCTCGATGCTTTTTCACTGGGAATCGACTGACTACCGTTCACCAATATGGTGGAACACCATCCGGAAAAGTGACCCCGCTATCGAGATATCGACTGCGTTTGTCGCCGGCGGAAAAAGTAACGCAACTGCAAATACGCTATCTGTCGCCAGGGCTTTTATATTCCATTCTGAAGATAAATGCAGTTGCCTATTTCGTTTCAGATATTTTTAAGCAAAATTTGGGAATATCGAGTCGCCGGTAATTAGTTAACGATTAGGTTGAATAATCCGACACAACTGCTCTGGGAAACGAAGAGACAGTTAGCAACCCATTTTGGGGCCCACAATTAGTAATCGAATTATTTTGATTGTTCGTAACTCTAATCTTTTCCGAATTTTCCCCCGCGTAACTAAAAATCGCAATTAGCTATTCTATCTATATCCAAGATTTTTAAGTAATACTAATCAACTCTCTCAATTAGTTCTGTCGATATTCAGTAACGCAAAGATAATTTTCACTTAAGAGGCACTAACCGAAATGTTAAGTTGCTTAACTACAAAAGAAAAACAGTCGAAATTTTTCTCGTAGTAGAGTTACGTACAATCCTAATTTTTACATTAAATAAGAGACAATTCCGACACAGTCTGCGAAAATTGCATGTAAAATTGCAAAGTCTTATATAATTGCCAATTATCGCTTCGCAATCTGTCGCTTAGGTTTAGGGGTTTCTATGGAAACGGACCCTTGATCTCTCAATCCAGCCGACGCGCAACTTGTAATTAAGTCTTAACGGAGGTCCCGTAATAAATTGTCGCTAAGCGACGCGGCTAGGTCGGTCCCGCGGTGCTAGACTCGTAAAATCAGCTTCGTAAAAATGTCCTGCAGATCCTGACGCTGACGCTCTTCGCCGGCGCCTCCATCTTGGGCGCTTGTGGCTACTGCCTGGCGGAGTTTCAACAGCGCCGCGCGTTTCTGGAGACCAGGCAGAGCCTGGAGGTCCAGCTGATGATCGAGGAGCAGAGCGCGGAGCAGGAGCGGTTGTTGCTCAGCGTCCTGCCGGAGCACGTCGCGGTCAAGATGCGGCAGGACCTCGGCGCGTCCCTCGACACGCAGTTCAAGAAGATCTACATGTCCAGGCACGAGAACGTGTCGATACTTTACGCCGACATAGTCGGCTTCACCGCGATCTCGTCGACCTACAGCGCCGGCGAGCTGGTCAAGATACTCAACGAGCTCTTCGCGCGATTCGATCAGCTCAGCGAACGGTACATATTTTTTAAGTTTTCACTTTAATGAACACATTGACATTGCCATTAGCGCGGTCTTTTACGTTAAGGCAGAACAGACTACTTGATACCGGTCGATTTAAGAGCTATATAGTTTTCTCATTACATTTGCACGTTTTTACGTTCTATCGATCTTACGAGTAAAGTACAACACGCACGAGGTAAGAAATGCTGCGGTACAAGCAGATCGATATTGTAAATAATCCAAATCAATTCGGCTAGAATATAAATTAACACTTTAATCGCTTAAAGAATTACGTCCTTTGGTTGAACCAATGAGTGCACAACATTCAGTGGAATATTCGGAAGAAATTAGCTATTCGTCATCCGCGTAGCATGTATTTTTGTCTCCGCCCCATATATGTATGTTAAGTGGAACTTGGCGTGTTATCGAATGCTAATCGTAAAACGGTACGGCAAAGTGAGTAGAATTCCGCGGCTCGCGCGTTCCATTTCCGCCGGGGATAATGGAAATTGTATGATCGGTTCGACGACGAAATTGATTTCATCAGCGAGTTCCCTGTCGATTTTGTCTTCGGCTATTCCGACTCCGTAAATCCTGCCGCAGGGGGAGGTCCTTCGAGGACACCGGCAATCGATATCCCCGGGGACCGGGGTTTTCCATCGTCGCCAAATGCACTTTGCAGTTTACGCGATCATCATCCGTCGTCGCGTAATATTCTATTTATAGTCAGAATATCTTCTTCTTCGCCTCCCCCCACACACACATACACACACACGCACGCGCGCGCGCGCAGGAGTCATTAGAAACGTTCTTCAAACCGATTGAATAGGTCGCGACATGGAATCTTGTTCACAGATACGAGCAAATGCGCATCAAGATCTTGGGGGACTGTTATTACTGCATAAGTGGTGCACCCGTCGAAAGGCCGGACCACGCGGTCCTCTGCGTGTACATGGGACTGTCCATGGTGGAGGCGATTAAATATGTTCAACAAACGACGAACAGCCCCGTCGACATGAGGGTAGGCATTCACACGGGCGCGGTGCTCGCCGGGGTCCTCGGACAGAGGCAGTGGCAGTTCGATGTCTACAGCAAGGACGTCGAGCTGGCGAACAAGATGGAGAGCAGCGGAAGGGCGGGGTAAGAAAAGTCTTGTTGCGAGATAAGTTCAATTTGAGGGACGCGACTACCACATTCGGGAATTTGTCGCGACCGGATGAAAAGACCTTATCCTACGGTTAATGTCAAGCGTACGTGGTTTTATCTTAACTTTTGAATCAATATATCGAGAAATATTGCTTGATCGGGTATTAACGTGATCGAGCGCGAAAGGATCCTCTATCTATCCGTTGAGAAAGGCCGACGAGTGCATAAATAAATAAATGCTTTAAGGAGGGTACACATCTCGAATGCAACGCTGAGCTTCCTAAATGGGGAATTCGAGGTCGAGCCGGCGCACGGGGAGGATCGGGAGGAGGCACTCCAAAAAGCTGGCCTCGTCACTTACTTTATCGTGAGAGCCTTGAAGCCGTTTAAGCCAGCGGTGACGAAAAGCCTCGCGTCGCTGGCGGACGCGGAAAACTCGCAAAGAATAATAGAGAGTGTGCAAGACAAGGTGGACAATATTCGAGAAGATTCCGAGGAATTCCAGCAACGGCTGAGAAAGAAACTTGACAGTAGAGGTAAAAATGACAAAGTCAGGCATTTTGAGTTGGAGAGCGTTACGTAAAACTCGGCGAAATTAAATCCGAGAAGATCGGGGATGGAACGTCGTTTCGTTTCAACTCGCTAAGCGGCTCAAAAATCCGCGCATGCGTCCGCAAAGTGTTATACTCTCATCGGGTGTTGCGAATTATCGACGCGGGCACTGATTACAATCGACGCTCGAGCGAGCGTGTCGCTATGTTGATTAATATTCAACTACGTAACAAGCGGTCGGTGAAATCGCGAAAATAATCTTTCCCTTAGGCACGCGCTTAAAAGTTTGTAGATGCACTCGAGGGAGAGGCCGACGATCGACTTTACGTTTGCGAAACGAATCACTCGTCCCGCGAGTTTCTGAATCCATTCAAGTCAGAGTTTGCCGGGCGTCTTTTCGCGAATGAAAGCGACAAGTTAGTCCCTGCGAGGATCCGCCCTGATAACCCGATGCCAATCGTCGGACATCCGGCCTATTAGCGACTCAACCTTACGCGTGACGTCAGCCTATGAACACTCGTAGGTGGTGGTACCGACCTGAAAGGTCATGCCTCCTGGTTGACCCTACGGTTCAAGGATCCGAGCGTGGAGACGGCGTTCCATAGCGTTGAAGAGGCCTTCTCGCCCCTGTCGCTCCTCGGCGGACCCTTGGTCACGATGTGCGCAGCACCGGTCTGGAGGCTGCAGCCCTGGGGACCGTTCACGTGGGGTGGCGCCGGGGTGGTCACTCTCTTCGGCGTCGTGCTGGCTGGAGCTACCTGCCTGGGCAGCGCGGTCAGGGCGACGTGGTTCAGAAGCACCCTCGCGCTCCTCATGACGTTCTCCCTCATAATCTTCCTGCTATTAGACATGGTACGAATTCGAACAGCCACTTTTAATCGATACTTGTTGCTGCAGCTCGACCGCTCGCACCATTCAATTCTCTTTCCCTCTTAATTCGCTAATCTTAGAGATCTCAGATTCATTTTTCTACGGCAATTCAGAGTTGATGTTTCAGTAAAATTTTCACCAATGGTACTCGTTATCTTCAATGTTATAACAGATCTGTCGTTGTTCCTCCAGTATTTCGTAGCGCTTGAGTGTTTTTCCAAAATGGACGAGGATTTAACTATTATGTCATTCTTACTATCCGTTTCGTGTAGACTAACTGCGCGATCATCGACGACGTCGAGCCGGCGAAGAACACCTCGCTAAACTGGTCCCCGCGATGTCCGTACCCTTCTTATTATTCATACATCGGCGTCCTGGCGCTGGTCGCTATCTCGATGCCGACATATCTCTGTTACTTGACCAAGGCGTGCCTGATGTACTTCCTTGCCGGCGCGCAGTCCTGCATTAACGTCCTGTTCCTCGCGTCGAGCCTCGATAGGGAGGACGTGGCGTCGAACCAGGGATCCGTTCCCATCCCGCTGAAATATTCGCTGGCGGCCACCTTGTTCACCATCGCGACCGCACTAGTCATCGTAGCGAGATACGTAAGTGAGAAATATTTCACTTTGAAAGATTTTAGAACACTGCAAACATCGCCGGTACCCGCTCCATCGTATTAGCGATTCGTTTACGTGAAAGAAATTATAATATATCGAATATTTTAATGAGTATACTTCGATTAATAATCAAAAATTGTAAATTTCTTTCGATGACTGTCCGATCTTAAAATTCCGTTATTCCATTCCAAAGCTAAATATATGTATATAATATAAAATTATTAAATTGATATTTAATTTAATATTATTGACGCCAATAAGTGACTTGTAAACCTACAAACAATTTCACTCCAGCCAGGATTCGAATCTGAATCTCCCTACTATTTAAAGAGAAAACGATTTCTTTGAATTTTATAAATTTTGTTGTATCCAAACAAATTTGACGTTTGGAATGGTGCAATCAAATTATTTGTTTGAATTTTAAGTAGTATATATCTTCGTCTGAGAAACAAAAGGTATATTCTCTGTGATTCAAATGAGATTATTGTTTTATTCAAGCAATATTATCGCTTGATAGAAAATATGTGAAAAAAATGTACATATATACATCTCTACCAATAATATTGAATAAATTACGAATATAAACTTGCTGGAATATTTCGACATTGACGACGGTCGATCGCTACAAGCTCCAACAGGGGAAATACATCAGCCGCTCTACGTGCCGATCGATCTACGGTGCGTTGCAGCACGCGAGAATGGAACGACTCGAGAAAATGATTCCTTCCTTCAAGGTCGGCATGTCGATAAAAGAACAATCAATTCTCACGGGTCTATAAAACCGCGCTGACGATCGCATCGACGATCCACTCTGTGTCGCGTTAAATCAGATATCAAGAATGGTATTGCGAACGCTTTGGGACACGCTATACGTACAAATTGATCGTGTCGATGCACGTTACGTTTCTAAAGTCACCTACTTTCTTCGATATTTTCAGTTACCCGCGTAAATAATAATTTCGAGTTAAATTGCTTCTGTTTCGCGTTACACTGAAATCGTACTCCACTTGGCGTATCGGAAAAAACGCCCGTAGCGCGCTGTTGTAGTTTCCCCGAAATAATCCGGCAATCGGTATTTAGGCGCGAAATAGAAACATAATCCATTTGTGGATTGCGATGATGACGGCCTCAATCGAGAAATTGGACCTCGGGTAATTGGCGATTTTTGAGTGGGCTTTTCATGGCGCGTTGAATGGCACTCTATCTGTCCAGCACGATCCTCTATTTGCTATCGAGAGCACCGGGCGAGAGAACGGCGAAAGCAATTTCACAGAATTTTCGTCCTAACGAAACATTTCCTTTACGGAAGCATAATTCACGTGGGAGTTTCATGGAACGCGAGAAAATTCCGTGGACGGGTTCGAGCGACGGCGCTATTAGATTTGCCATAATTCGCTACTTTCGAGTATCGAATTAATGTAAGAGCGTGCAACAGAACAATTGTAAATTGAACTACGATAAAAAGTTGGATCTTTCCAGTTGTTTCATTTAATACGACGTGAAAAATTCCAAACGCCGATCTTGTTAACGAGCATATTACGCGCAGGCGGAGAAGGCGCGAAGGATGCTGTATCTGCGAGGACGAGAGGTGATCGCGCAGAGGGAACGGGCGGCGGATATGAAGCGAAGAAACGGTGCTCTAATATACAACATCCTGCCGCCCCACGTAGCCGCTTATTTCCTGTCGCGCGCGAGGCACCACGACGATCTCTACAGCCAGAGCTACGCCGAGGTGGGCGTGCTGTTTGCCAGTATGCCAAACTTCGCGGACTTCTACAGCGAGGAGAGCATCAACAATCAAGGCCTCGAGTGCCTCAGGTTCCTGAACGAAGTTATCTCCGACTTCGACGCCGTAAGTTTCCCGCGGCTCATATTAATGCCTCAAAGTTTTCCCGTTATTAATCATTACGCCTCTCTTTTGTATTCTCCTGACTTACGACGACTCGCTTTATCCCGCCTGGTTAGATCCTCGATCAGAAGAAATTCAAAAGCATCATCAAGATCAAGACGATAGGATCGACCTATATGGCCGCGTCGGGAATATCCGAGGTGCAATCGGTGCAGTCGGAGGACGGTCCCCGGTGGGGCCACCTCGTCACTCTCGTCGAGTTCGCTCTGGAGCTTAAAAAAGCCCTGTCAAGCATCAACGAGCAGAGCTTTAATCACTTCGTTTTGAAAATGGGCATCAATCACGGACCGGTGACTGCCGGTGTCATCGGGGCACGGAAGCCTCACTACGACATTTGGGGCAACACCGTCAATGTCGCGTCGAGGATGGAGAGCACGGGGAAAGTCGGCTGCATTCAGGTATCGATCGGAGAGATCGCATCAGCAATCGCTAATAAATACTTTGTTTCTTAAGATCCAATTTAGCCTCTCAAAGTAGAAGAATAAGTGGAGGGCAGGAAGGCCAATGCGAGCCGTACGCAGTTAATGAGACGTAGTCTTTAAAATAGTCATGGGCAATTAATGATAAAAATTGTGACCAAAACATTTTTAATCTTTAATTTCTAACGTACATTGTATAACGCCACGCACTCTGTTCTTTTATTAAGCGTGGTCTACAATGGCAGTAGGAGTAGTGGATTAAAGAAGTAGGCGTTAGACATAGGCTGTAGGATTAAGGTCCCTTTACGCCCGAGTGTCTACAATGGTGTAGAGTAAGGATTATAATGAGCTAATCAGTGTTAACCAATGTTATTACACAAATGTTACCGTTGTTGGTGAATATGAATGTGCGAAGAATTGGATTTGTGTTATTTATATTATTATGGAGTCAGCTCTTGACTCTTCAATGGCGTATTATGCAAACGAAGAGATCTATCGGTCGGAGGTGGTGGGTTCGGCCTGTGAACAGGCGCAAACGAGATCAGGGTTTCAACTTTAACCTATTTCGTGAACTGATTATCAGTGGCTGAGAGTAAGGGAGTAGTCGTACGAAATGGAATTGAACCATTTTGCTTACAGCCTTACTCTACGCCTACTACACTGGAAACACGAGCTTACTCCGACGTCTTACAGCCTTAATCCACTACTCCTACTGCCATTGTAGACCACGCTTTATGTTATAGGGTAAATCCGATAGAGATGGCCATACGGGAGAGTTGGCCCACGACCGTAATATCACACAAAACAAAAGACTTAATTACTCACTTTTTCGTTTTTTATCGCGACAAAACCAGGAGACGTTCGACCTTGTCAATACAGGGAGTCATACTAGCGTACGTGCACAAACTAAAAGGTGGAACTACGGTTGTGGGCCAACTCTCCTGTATGGCCATCTACCGGATTTACTCTAATTAGACTTCACACTCTCTCTTTATGGCTTTCACCATTTGGTGACTCATGCGAACGTGTCAGATGACACCTTTCGACGACTGTACTGAAGATAATCCGGAGTGGATCGAAACGTCTGTATTTTATGTTTTATTGTTTATTGTTAAATTGCCCATGGCTATTTTAAAGACTACACCTTATTAATTGCGCACGGCTCGCATTGGCCTTCCTACTTCCTACCCTCCACTTATTTCTATTTCATAAGCACGATTGTTTAACGGAGGGGGTTTGTTTTTTTACGGGCTAGAATTGAACGGTCGAAACCAGTCTCAAGTTTGAAAAATAAATAATTTGCGCAGGTCACCGACGAGACGCGGAAGATACTAGAGCCGTTCGGTTTCGGCTTCGAACAACGGGGTCTCGTCTTCGTCAAGGGCAAGGGTCAGCTCTTGACGCACTACCTTGTCTCCCAGGACGGCGTCTTTCTCGACCTGGACAGCGATCTGCCCGTTGAACCTACCCACCCGATAATCTATCAGTAATGTACCCGAAGGCTCTAACTCGAACGAGAAACGACCTCTCACCGGGGGTATCAAGCCGGTCGTTCAAAACCCGTCACGAATTTCCTCGGCGGGTGTCGGGCTGGACGCTCAGAGCGCTTAACGTCCGACCTGACGGTTTCCGGAAGCTGGTGAATCACGAATCGTAAATTAGATGACGTCTCTCTGTTCACCGAACGAATTTTTCCTCAAGGACGTTCGACAAGCTAAATGTGTATTGTCGTAGAGAACTCTCTATAAATGTTAGCATCCTCGTTTCTCAGAAGGAGAAAATGGCAGGCGGAAAAGGGGACGAGGAGGACTGGGGGAGGGGAAGGGGAGAGAGGAGCGGGATCGACGCCCGGACCGTTCGCGACTGTCCGCGAGTGTCATCGTGTCGTCGCCATATCATCATCCGTCATCCCATCATTGATAAACGCGAAGGGAGAAGTTTGCACACAGCCGCCGTCGACTGTTCATTTTCACACGTTCACACGCGCGCACACACGCACACACGCACGCACGCACGCACGCACGCACACACGGGATCACGCGTGCGCGCGTGCCTTACGAACGGCTAGGGTGCGTTGAACTCGTACAGGGTATATTCGAAACAAACAAACAAGTAATAGGTTTAGAAAACACGCAGGTTTGAAAAATGCGAATGAAACGATATTTTGATGTCGCCGTGTAAATAGCACTAGATCCATAGGGGGGGGGGGGGAGCGCAGATGTAATATCGTTAATGGAGACGTGTAATATAGCAACAGATCGAACGCCGCCTCGAGAGGATCTGGATAACGTAGAGGTAATTCACTCCGTGTGTGGTAAATCTCGTGTTCTAGGGCTAAACTTCTTTCTCCAAGTCGCGCACTTGGGGCCGGTTTCACAAACGTCGGTTAACAGCTACTCGAAGATTACTTGATTCTCTGTCAAAAAGATAGGGAGTTAACTGAACTCTCGTTAACAGTTAACCAACGTTTGTGAAGCTGGTCCTCGATCAGACGCGGCTGCTGACGCGAAAGCTGCGCGAGAAATTTGAGAATGTCCTGTCGTTAGCGTCGGTATCCTATTGGTATCGGATCACTTCCCGGTACCAGCAATAATCCAAACAATCGTCACCTACAGCTCTTCGTCAATTTCCATGCCTGATCTACACGCAACTCGAATTCGATCTGCGACATCGCCACGGCGTACGAGGAGATAAAGAGAATATTGGGGAGGCAGAGGTGTTGGCGGAGGCGCGAACTTGTCCGTTCTCGCGTCACCACTTCCGGTTTATCAGTGACGTTTCGTACATGGCATAATTTTGTTACCGTTTATTCAACGATCTAGCGTGGGCGACGTCTCTTTAGGAGTCTTCGGGAACTGTTTTCTCCCGGATACGCGTCATCTGTAGAGCGCACACGAGATACATGTATATCGGAGTATATTATATATAACGGCGGGACACTTGACAAAATGAAAATATAAGAGCACTAGGGAACTATAAATGTGCGCGGAACTATAAAAAAAAACGCAAGAAAAACCGAACATCGCCGATACGGTAGTAATTTATTTTTCTACAGTCGCCGAGAGTTTATCACAGACCAAGATGACTCGGATACGTGCGTGACGCACGTAAGGAGACCTTAATGAAATTTTCTACTGACTCTTTCGTTACATACGACGACATAGATCTCAGCACGAGAAAGAAACGTCTCCCCTCTCGCGCGTGTTCAAAGAGTAATTTATTACTTACTCGCTTTCGACTTGAGATTCACGTGACAATTCGAGTAAACTGCGACGCAATTCGCCCGACGTTGAATGTAACGAGAGGGTTGCGAGAGGAAGAGTATCGAGAGAGAGAGAGAATGAGAGAGAGTGGGTGTGAACGATGAAAGATTGAATGGGAGTGTGAAAACAAGTAGGTATCGGCCTAAACGCGAGAGAAGCTAAGCAAGACATGGATCTCCTCAATCGGAGAGAAGGCGAAAGAGATAAAGAGAAGCGATATACTTCCGGATCGTTCCACGTAATCGCGTACTTCCATTTCCGGCCGACTTCTCGCCCGCACAATCATGCATATATTACGCAACAAACACGCGTGATCGACGTGTACACGCGGAGAAGCAACGATTGGCACGATAACAATGTTAATGTACACACGCGTGCGTAGATCGGAGAGTTATCTTGTAAGATAGCAATAAATGGACTCTCTTTCGCGTGCACACGCTATATTTTCATGAGTCGATAGGCAGGAAATGCGGATAGATTGACGTGCAACGTAAACTATCTATGAAAAGTTGATTAATTAAGAGAAATTAATAGAAACTCATTTCGTAAAATTTTGAATCCTTAATCTTCGACATTGAAGGGTTTTGTAAAAATATCTTCTATTCTCCCTTCATTTTCTTTGCTTCAGACTTGATACAAAGGACTGTCGTTGGAGAATAAAAGATAATAGAAGAGTAGCCAAGACATTTTTTATCTCCGATATCAAAGATTCTGGAAGAGACTTCTACCTCGCAGATTGAATTTCTATTAATTCCTTTTGATCCATTTATTTTTTCGCGGCTGATATAGGACGCAAAGTGATCCGCGTGTAATCATGTAATAGTCATGTAAGGAGAATATATCACTGTTGATATGTTAGCACTTTAAATGTGACGGGGCGGATTTGGAGCAAGCGAGAAAAAACTTGTAAAAACTTTCGACTTTCTAGCGCGGCAGGCGCAGCTGCACGCGAAAATCCAAGGGTGACATGTAAAACTACGCGAGAAACCCCACTCCTGCGTCGGCGAGATAATAAATGGCGTCTTTGCCTACGAGAAAATATGGTATTATCTTTTTTTTCCCCCAAACAGATGCTCGCACCACTTTCGAGATTTATTCATCGAGTAAGGTCCAATAGATTATTATTTATCTCTTGTATTCGTATAAGATCCAAAACTCTTGTGCTTGTTACCGAGGCTTAAGACAGATTTCGAGATGCCTGGATACACATAGTTTATTGTGGAGAAGATAAAATGACGAACAAGATCCTGTAATAAAATTCCATAAAGGTGGTAGAAAACTAAGACGAGCTTTAAGCATCCAAGGATTGGCCTAATAAGCGCTGGTCTCGAAAGTCGGGAGCGATTTATTACAAACTCAAGAGATAAAATAACAATCCTGAATGATTATTTCCAGATTTGTTATAATATATGAATAAGTTTGAAAATTTCGGCATCTTGGACCAAACTTTGTCATCTTTCGGTTCACTTCTCTCGCAGTTAGTTGACGAAATCAAATCCATCTTTTAAGTTTCTAGGATTGTGTCAATCAATGACAACAGAAGTAGCAAATGTTAATAAAAGCGACGTTAAATATCTTTGTAAATAAATTTCGAATTAGAACTCTGTGAGTTTTGTGAAAGAGAGTAAAGCGAAATTAATGAAAGAATACAGCTTGATTGACTACTGGCGGTCCTGAAGCCTAATACAAATCCCCTTAAATTTCCATTTGTAATTATAAAATGGTTAATATTACGTTTAAGAGATTGAATTACAAGAACAAAGGTGGAATTAAAGCGGTTGCCGTCAGCTAGTCATTTTGTAGCCGTTTTATTTTTTCTTCTTTCGCTTCGCTGGAAGAAAGGAAAGTAATTTACCGCGAAATGGGACGATCGAAAGGAGGTAGTTACAATGTTTACAAGCAGTATACATTTAGCGTAGACGGCTAGAGTCGGGAAACGCTTCGGTACGATATCGCGAATACATATTGGCACGATTAAATTCAACGCGCAACAATTTGATATCGAATCGACCCATTATTCGCGGTTGACACCGGCCGATACTGGACATGGATGCTGAGAAGATCTCTAAACAGAACAGTAAGTGTTACACGGAAACGTACACCGCCGATTGAAAATCTGTGAATGCTATTCTATGAGAAATTCGGTATGAACGTTTGTCCCACATTTAATTTGCACACTTCACATTCCCGGTTTAACCTTTCTTTCAGTAATTCCTTATTAATTACAGTTTTTACCCAGGCACACAAAAAAGAGTTTCATAAAATTAAAATATTCCAATTTCCCCGTTTAACTTTATTATCGCTCCGCGAATCGATGATGTCGTCAAAAGAAGCACAGAATAATTTAGGTCAGCTTTTTCCAGCGGCGTCCGTTTTCCACATTTGCGCTTCTCTTCTTCTGTATTTTTTCCTTCTCGACAGACATGATCTACGCTTGTCTCATGAAGAAGCGATTGAGCTCAAAGAAATTGCTCTATTTATTCTTTATTCAAACAGCATTTGGTCATGTGCCGTTTTAGAATTCTCATATATCGCGTCGCAAAACTCCGTTGCCGCAAATTAAAAAGAAGTAAAAATTGTGGAGAACAGAAATCAAAATTTTACAGTTGCTATAAATTCCAGATTGAGAAATACTTTTATCTCGACTTCTCCATTAGCAGAATTTGTGGCGGTATACGTATCGTAGAGTTGCGAAGAGCTGGAATGTGATGTGAGGACCCTTTTATCAATTTTGGTTTTGTTCAACGAGCACGAAAACATCGTCGCGAGATTCATTTCGAGTGTATCGTCGCGTATCACACAAGGGAAGTAAAGAGAGAAATTTTGTCCTTACATATATCGTAGTGCAACACGTTAGCGTTACATATATGTATACATCGTACAATGCGGTAGTTAAAAAAAAAGGGTAAAGAGCGGTAGTTCCGCTATATCGTGACGCGTCTTGGATTATTTTTAGAAATTTCGTTGCTTTTCGTACAGAGCACAACATCGAAGTAAAGAAGATACGCCGTCTGAACGCGTGCGCGACCATAAATATATATATAATATATATAATTATATGTATATATATGCATTTATATATTTTATTATATATATTAACAAACGACTCTCTCTCTCTCTCTCTCTCTCTCTCTCTCTCTCTCTCTCTCTCTCTCACTCTCTCTCTCTCTTTCTCTAGGCTGTACGAAACAAGCTCAAAGATGCTGGGTTGAGCTTTCGCATGCTTGAAACGAATCGAAACCGATTTTAGGATCTAGCAAAAATAAATTGTACCCTTTAGAAAATTCTTTAATGAGACAATGTATATAACAAGCGAGTCGAGTTTATTTTTACTTACTGACGTTACGATCGATATGAGATTTTATAAAAATACACGATAGCGCCTTAACACGTTGATCAACTAATGGCATGAAAACTAATCTCATCGGATTTCGATTCGACTTCAAGCCTCGACCGTGTCCGAGACGAAGCATAGACGATAAAGCTGCCTTCAGATTAATTCTGCATCGTCGGAAGCTGCTCAGTTCTCGTCGTTTCCGGCCGGAGGTCGGAATTTCACCGAGTCGCGTTTAACATTATAATTTAATTTGCCGGGAGTTAGCGCTTCCCGGCCGATTGTCACGAATAGAAGTTGTGTAAAGCACTTGGACAGTCGTTAGAGGTTTCCAAAAAATTCGCGAGAGTGTGTATTCGCATGCGGCGTCCGTGTGAGATGGCGGCTCTCTGCTCGCGGACAAGGCAATAGATTGGCCAAGGGATTTTGGTATTAAGTTAAATAGTTAATCAAACGGCTAAAAAGAATTCTACTATGGTCAAGAGATCGTTTCGTGTCCTATACGGTTACATCTCAATCGATGTTCTTTCAGTGTGTTAAAACGGCGTTAAAAAAAGGACAGATAGCGCTCGTGATGAAATGGAGCGATAGAAATTCCAATAAACGTAGGTCGAAAAATTAATACTTTCGGAGTTGCAAACAGCCGGGAATTCTTGCAAGAGTTCGCAATTTTGTAGTACGAAGGTGTGAAGTATATGTGGAAATGGGAGGAAGACATGTAAAAAACCTTCTGTAAACTCTGGAGTTTGAAGCATCCTTCTTTTTCTCTGTCTGAATAAATGGAATGTACTTCAACCAAGATAAAGAACAGTCTACAACTTCGAAAACATCAATTTCTCGACCTACATCTATTGAAATTTCCTTTAGTTCCTTAAAATTCTGAATCCTCCTTTTAACACTCTGTATAAGGATCTCTCTGGAGCGATTGTTGAAAAAAATGCGCTGAGAATTATCAAGGAAAGATTCTGTCGTCTTAGTAAAAATTCAAAGATATCATCCCAAAAATACGGCGATCGTTTGATCGTTACGTCGCGCGGAAATCTGCGTTTCAATCGCGATCGAAGTTTTCGAGCGTTTGCTCAATTGCATAAAGCGCACTCGAATGTTACCGAGCAGAAGAGACATGTTCGCGGAGACAGTTCAACGGATGGCTCGACCCACAATCGTCCTCTCCTCGTCGTACAGCCGCAATCCGGCTTATATTGACCGAGACCTGTCCCAGTTACCGTCTATCAACGGTGCAGTGAAACTCGCTGAAGAACATTTTAATGGGTTTCCCGCGGCTCTCGAAGTACTGGGGAACGCGATGCGGAAATGTTTTCTTCGGCGATACCGCAGCTTTCGAAGCACAAGTTTGTATCTGTTATCGAGATACTTAGGATCGAGTGCACCCGTCGACGTGAAAATCTCCGTCTATGTTGATTCACGCGTACAATTATTTTTCAGGACATAAACCGGCTGGACTCGTAGCAAATATGCACTCTGCAATCCTTCTCAGACACACACTACGTGACTTTCCCCATTTTTAACATGTTCTCTGCATCGAAACTTTTTGCCGATATCAAACCTGATACTATTTACGCAATATGTAATTATTATATGTATATATATATGTACACGCGAATTTGATTCGCATGTCTTGTCGATTTAACAGATCGAACAGCTTATCGATAACGTTATTATATGCCCTTTATGATCAATCTCGCGTTTCTTCTCACGGCAGCGTTATCTTCGCTGAGACTTTACGTTAAGTACCTAAATACGCACGTCGTTACGCGACAAAGACAATAAGATATCGTATAAAATTTGTTTACAATCTGCCCGAGTCGCCCACCGTCATATTTCATTCATTTCCCACTCACGCGTCAATCTCATCGTTAAAGGACCAACGATGGCACAGTCAGAAAATGTCATCCTAGACACGCAGCGTGTCTCTTCCGTTGCTTCCCAATTACTTTTCCTCGCGTAGAGCGAGTTGAGATTTAGACCCTTCCTCAGACGTTATCGCCGAAAACGTCGCCGACACCCAGGCGATTGTTATCCTGTGTCGATCCAGGATACCGGCCGGGTGCCAGCAGCCAGCCTCACGTCTTGGCGAACTTGTAGACCACACCGAACACCAGCACGCTCACCAGCATCAACACCATCGCGGTCACCACTTTGGCGAAGGCGTTCAGCCCGCTCTCCGTGGGCTGTTGGGACCTCCCGCTCGGCACGCTCTGCTTGGCGGCGAGACCGCGCGCCAGGGCGGGAAAGGCCAGGCTCTGGGTGAAGGTCAACTTGTGGAGAGACTCCGACAGGGAATACGGGCCCACGGAACCGCGGGCCGCGGCCCTCAGCAAGGCGTATTCCAAATCCAGAGCATCGAACATGCTGTATCTGCTGACGAAGAGAGAAACATAGATTTGTACAAAATAATAATTTCTTTATTATTTTGTACACCATATTCCGCTATAATTAGAGGTGTGACATTTTGATGTTATCTTTATACGCAAAATATCGCAAAATGCCCCAGGAACGTTTTTTCATGTCATTTCTTTACATTTTCGAGTCTCCAACACGCTTTTAAAATGCAAAATGACCCTCAACACAAAAATAGCGTCCAAATAACGTCAAATATCGCAATTTTCCTTAATAAATATTTCCAACGTCAATGTTGTATACTAAACCAAAGAGATTTATGCCCAAGACTAGTTTTGTTTACTTTTTGTAGACATGTTACTGCTTTTATAGCCTGAAAATGATATGCAATTTCAGTAATTTGTTCCATGCTATTTAAATATGTTATGTTTTATGTTACATTTTTTAAACATATGTTTAGCCTTAATAAATGTCGTAAATTGTTCTGTCAAAATATTAAGGCCCGGTTTCACTAACGTTGTTTAGCTTTCAGTTTAGCTTCATTCGTTCTTTGCCTCCTTTTAAAGTAACAGTTGGAAAGAGACAAAGAACGAATTAAACTAAGTTGAAAGTTAAGCGACATTGGTGAAACCGGGCCTAAGTCGTCTTATTGAAGCCCTGCCCACCTCTGACCACGGCATTATCAAAAATATTATCAAAATAATACAATCAACATCAAGATGTCACACCTCTAGCTATAATTTACATTTTTTATAGTCGTTTCATTTTATTTATTACTATATGTACAGGTAGGTCTATTTTATAATTTTCCACGTCAGCGATCTTCTCAAAATTATCCAAGTATAACATGTATTTAAATAACTAAAATATTTTATTAAAAAAATAGCAATATTGCACACGTACTTGAAAAACTTTTGGCAATTTTGGAATCTATCTCATTTAATTGTATATCATAAATTGGTCGTGTTTTACGATTCCATTTTACGATTCTGTTTTGATGAAACCCAATGCTGTCATAAAACAGATCCTGCCTGTACACTGTTCGGCTATTTTATATGAGCTAGCATATTCTGGACGTGGCACCTTTAAGAACATTGAGTCTTCTTTTCTTCATCCTAGAAGTCTTATTTTATTTTACACGCGTTATTTCTATAATTGCTATAATCAATTTCAATATTTGCCCTAATTATTTATTTTATTTAACTTTAAGTACGTTATTGTTCCAATTATTTATAATTGGTTTAATTGCTATAATTGCTATAATCAATTTCAATATTTGCCCTAATTATTTATTTTATTTAACTTTAAGTACGTTATTGTTCCAATTATTTATTTTCTATAACTCTAGAATATATAATGGTATATACGCCATAGGCACAATTTTCTGGCAAACTCTTTCAAGAAGACTTCAGTGAAAAGCTTAATGACGAGTATAGCAATTCCGGCGCGAGTTCTTGCTTTGAAAAGTGCAGACAAAGGTGCGGCGAAGGAAAGCACAAAAGTGGGCCTCTATCGAGACAATCCAATGTCTTGGCCTCGCGCGAGGCCTTCGGCGAGATTGCGGGATTGCGACGAGCAAAAAAAGAGCGAAATTGGGGCGCGGTTGATCTCAAGATGGGGGAAGAAAGCGATTTACCTACTCGAGGTCCTCGTCGTAGAAAGAACCACTCGGCGTTTGCGACAAGACTCAATTGTTTGCACAAGTGCAAATAATTCTACCGGCGCGTACACATGTACGCGCGCGCATACAATCGTATCGCTGAAATACGCCGTTGACGTATACCTTCCGTACATTTGCATCGTGTCACGGTCGTTCCTTGACACGAGTCAAGACCAAGTCCGACATCGAACGCGTACCCCACGATAGATTATTCCTGCCTGTTAGGATTTCCGGGACCTTGCTCGCAACGCGCGCACGCGGCCAAGGATAAGGTCGGAAAATAGATATTTCGCGACGCCGATACTTTTTACGAGTGAGGAGGAGGAGGAGAAGATAATATTTCTTGCAATACTTGTCGAACTGCTTCGAAATTCTATCCACGACGACAGTCTCTGCTGCTAACTTTGCTCATTCATTATGATTATAACGTCGGGGGAAGTTACCAACCTTTGTTTATCGCAATCTAACATGGGCAGTCAAAACTTTATACGCTTGCTATACTTTTTCCTCATTTTATGGATCGCCATTAAAAGAGCGAAAGTAAATTTAAAAAGGATAGAGAGAGATAAAGAAACAAGCTCGCGGTTCATCGACTGAAGACGTCGGATAGAGACGTGGCATGAACGAGCCGAATCTGTTAGGCCGGTTCTACATTAATCGTATCGTATCGTCGCAAGGGTCGCAAATCATAGATTCGACCAATTAGCGTTGAATTAGAATCAGTCTCGACCCTTGCGACGCTACGATGCGACCAATGTAGAACCGGCCTTACCTGCTGCTGCGTCTCCTGTCCTGCGAGTGCATCGACACGATCGCTGAACTCGGCATCGATCGCAGGCTGCTGGTAGTCGAACTGGAGGGACTCGGCGGCGCGGGCCGGTCCTCGTGGTCCTCGTCCACGGACGTTCTGTCCGGCGACGGCGGACTCTTTGTCCCCGCGTTATGGTGGTTGTGATGAAGATAATGCAGCTGCAGCCGCGCGTGATCCGGATGCAGCAGGCTGGCGCGACGCGATTGCTGCGGCGTCATCGCCGGGCTGTTGCAGGTGATACCGCACGGTGACGGCGATGCCTTTAACGTGTTTCACAGTTGTGATATTTTTTCTATGATGTTGTTAACAAATCGCGAATCGAAATGAATTATAGTGAGATTGTGGTAACTGCAACCATTTTTTTCTGTCAGTGCAACTGTCCCACGCGGGGAGGACCCTAAGCATTTTCGTATTGGAACGTTTGATGTCCGGCAGAAATTTAATTTACGGCGCGTATAATAACGCCTGTGAAACATTTACATTTGTACTCGCTCGGGTACATTTGAAGAGTATTGATTTTATTGACACACGTTTGAAGACTTGAGAAGGAAACTAGTATTACGTATGACTCGCACCTGGATGGATTCGATGCCGCTGTCGTTGACACTTTCCTGCACATCTGGGAACACAAAGGCTTGGGCCTGTCCGTCGGCATCGGCCCTGGGCGAGTCGCTGGGCCATACCTGAAGAAGAGGCAGTCCCCCGCGCGTCTCGTTGCAGACTTCGGCGATGACGACGTTGCTTGTTGACACCCCCGTATTGAGGCACAAACCCAGCTCTCTCAATGGCTTCTGCTAAACAACTTACTCGTTCACTGATTTTATAAATTGATCTTATATTTTTCGTTAAGAAAGAAAATTTAGTTTTCCTCGCACAGATTAAATCTCGCATTAAAAAAATTCGCTGGAACGTACGTATCTCCGTCGCGAAACAATTAAACTTGTCTGAGATGTCGAAATAAAATAAACTTCCAAGTATCAACTTGAATACCTTGAGCGTAAACGATATTTGAATTTTTGTCGTTTGTGGCACTTAGTTGAAACTGTATTGACTTTGAAATATTACGAGGTTCATATCGCGCGGCATATGCGAGAACGCCTTGCGACTTTTAGCTGCTCGATGACTCTCGATAATAAATATCGCCCCGCTAGAAACTTGGTAATGTCGTCGTGGCACGAGACAAACATTTTCTGCGTTCGCGCCACATAAAAGGCCGGTCCTTCACGGCTGGATATTAGCATGTGAAATATTGAAAAGAAATATTTTTAGCCACGGTCGCGTTTCAAGAGCAGATTAATCGATGCGATACTCTGTCGTTTCGCTACCGCGAGCTTTACTTCCATCCTAATGACGTTTAAAAAAGAGTAATAGGAGTAATGAAGGAGAATCTCGTGTGGACTTTTTTTTGTTGTAGACGAGTATCTCGGAGCACCTGACGCGATCGAATCGTTAAATCTCTGATTTTGTTGCGTAGGTGCAGCATAGATTTCACAGATTGTTATTGTAAAGTACTGATAAATTGAAACTTCCGTGTGATACGGTATTCTCGATGTGTTCGTCACGAAATACCGTGCACGTGCTTGCTTATCGTTCATTCGTAATCACACAAAATATCTTTGACGTCACGACATAATTATATTAATTTTCGTAGTATTCATTATACAGGGTGTACTAAAACCACCGGATATCCTTTTAATCGCAGATTCCTTAGAAAATTTCAAGAGGAAACTTCTCAAAATGTCGAGGCTATGATAGTTTTTAAATAATAAGCGATTATATTTCACAAATGATAGGTCTGAGATTTCGCGCGCTCAGGCACGGCGACATGACGAGTGATAAAAGCGTTCCTATGTGTTTCGCGAGCGAGCGAGAACCAAAGTCACCGTTTAACGGGACAGAAAATATTTGGGAAGACGATGATCCGGTTATTTTGAAAACTTGAGGATAAAGAGAAGCAGGAGACTAGATTGAATCTAACTGAAAATTCCAAGTTCACTCAGAATATCGGAGATCGACTAAATCGAAGGATATCAGTCTGATCAAGATGCTCATCATAGTGAACCCCTCCCTTTTATTAATAAGACGTTACGCAAAGTTAACAAAAGAAATGGTTAAAGATAACAAGAGGAACAATTAATTCGAGAATGAGTCGTTAAGTCTGTTGTGAAAGTTGTCACTATGCTAAAAAGGGCGATATTCGTAGGGACACTTTTATCACTTGTCGTGTCGCCGTACCTAAGCGCGCGAAATCTCAGGCCTGTCATTTGTGAAATGTAATCGCTTATTATTTATGCTAAATTGGCAAAAGTAGAAATTTCTGACACTATCAGTTTTAAAGTAGGAGTAAATTTTGTACTTGCAGTTCGACCTCTTTTACTGTCTTAGATCCTGCTGTATAATAGAACTAAAGGTTCAACATAGGGCCAAAATTTCAACTCGGGATATCATAGTTAATAGGTCACGTTAGTAAATCGTTAAGAGTCTTATCAAGAGACGCGGCAGTGTCTCGCGCCACGTATATTTTTCGTATAAACTATTCTAATAAACTATATCCGTTCATAAGCGAGACGTTACAGCGTATCCTTTACAGGAAGGCGAACGCTTTGCCAGAAATAAACCGTTGTTCTTTTTAAATAAGTCGATGCTATCGAAAGATGCAGATATTGGAGGAGAATATAGATTTTTCCGATAGTCCCGACAGGTTGCGCGATACTGAAATATAGATTATATAACAGGTTTTCTATTTCTGCGAAATTCGATGCTCTTATCTGCGAAGATATTTTGTTAATGTAACTCTTTTATTAAACCACAATCTGGACGAACCTTGGAGTTCGAGTAACGTCATTGCGCGGAGAACAGAGAAATTGTTACACGCTTAGATCACGATTGGTCCATCTATTTTCAAGGTACTAAATAATGTCATATTCCATCTTGGAATTTTATGTATGTATTCTATGCTATTGGCCATGAATCGGGCTTGGTGGATCGGCGTTATCAGTGAACCGTGTCGTGATCAGCCAAAATAAAATGCAAAGCGCAATCTGAACCGTCATCTTTTCATAACTTTTCAACGAATTATTATTCCTACCCTTGCTCGTGCCTCACCTTCGGCCTTTTCGCGCCGGAGCTTATTCGTCGCAAGGGCTCTCTATCCGTCGATCGAACGATCTTGATTTTTATTAAACCTGCGACGACGTGTTGTGCGGACAACGATGGATAATAATACATGGTTTAAAGTTCAAAATGTCTCGCTCGTCTCGCCGCGCGAGAATCGCACTCACGCAGGATGGCGCGCGTCCGACAGGCCGCGCAACTGGGGAATAAACGGCTCGCTGGTTTCCGGTGCGGCGAGCTTGCAAAGGTCGCCCCACTGTACAAAAAAGCGTCGAGAAAAAGACGACAGGCCGCAGAAGCAATACGAAACCGATCGATGAAGCGCGAGCGAGAGGAAGTGCGGTTGCTGAAAAAAAAAACGCGTAACAGGTCCCGAAATCCGGGACCTGCCTCCCTGTCTTTCTAATTCTTTGTCGTTTTCTGCAGAATATTTTTGCAATTCTAAAAAATAACGTGTCCCGAATATCTGTTCCATCGTATTAAAAAAATGAAACTGATTTTCGAACCCCTCGGGGAAAGTAGAGCCAAGGGTTGGTCACAGAAGAGTGCGAGATCGATAACGTGCGAGCAGGAAGTGTGTCGGTGATATGACGGAGGGTCGTACCAGGAATATATTTTATATATATATATATATATATATATCGCTGAAAGATCGAAACGAAATACAAAACTCGTTATCACCGCTTCGTCGATAGGCGAGAAGACGAAAGGCAGACGTTACGAAAATGTTGAAAACGTACGCGACCCATGTCCGCTCGATGTCCCCGCATTTTCTCCCCACGTTAATTCCTCTCTTCCACGCGACTCCTTAATGTTTGCACTAATTGTAAGCAAAACCCATCAAACATTTTTTTACTGCTTCGTGGAACGATTCCGAGTCACGCTAATAGCCGTAGAAAGGGAATGCATGATGTTCAAATCGATAATGCAAAGTCTCTTTTTAAAGTGCGAACTCGTTTCCGCCGTAATAAGAAGTTAACTTGTCGCAGACGCGGGTCTTTTTTACCGTTAATAGGAGAAATCAATTATCGAACTGTAGAAATTAACCCTCTTTGGAAAAAATTCACTGTTTCATCCCCCTATTTTTTTTTTAGAGAACAACTGCCAGGGTTTGCTCGCGACAGTCGTGACGTTCCGCTCGAATCGGGCCGAGGATCGCGGCGCAAAATGTCGAGAGTTATTTCGCATCTCCAAGACTCTCGTCATATTCGAACGCAATTTGGGTGCCAGATGCGTAGACGCTTTTCTGTCCCCCCTTTTTTTGAGACCGCCGCCAAATGGAAGCTGCGAGATGCGAACTTGGCGGCACTCCAAATTGACCAGTGGAAAACCCCGCGAAAGAGAAAGATCGTACGTGCGAGGGATGGCTATACGAGTGTCTTGGAGCTCTTTCTGTCGTCTCCGACTCGGAATAAATTCCCGATTGATTCGGAATCGACGAGGAGTCGCGAGGTCTGCAGTGTCGAGAGGATACAGACTCGCAAAACTGGTCAAATGATACCACGCGATAATTATTTACGACTAAGGCCCAGTTTTACCAATGTCGCTTAACTTTGAGCTTAGCTGACTTCGTTCTTTGTCTCTTTCCAACTGTTACTTTAGAAAGAGACAAACGTTAAACCACGATAAAAATTAAGCGACGTTTGATGAAACCGGGCCTGATCGAAGAAAGCAATTAGCGGAAAAAATGGCCTCTCAACATACAAACAGATATGTTCTTCTGCTTCGTTCACGAATTTTCCGAAGAAATTCGCAACGGTGCCATTTCATCAGTTTTGTGAATTATATGTCGCGAATCCCCTCGGAATGACCGCGACGTGCCTGAGAGTTGGCGAATTTTAACGTTTAAACGATTCTTGCAAACAGAAGTCGCGAGACTTGGGGAGTCACTCTCGAATCAAACAATCCTGCAGAAAGTTCAAGTTAATTGTGTCGTGCTTGAGAAACTCGGTGCAAATCTCGTAATCCACTTCCCCGAATCTATTTCATCTGACGGCCATGAAATGTCGCGATAAAAGAGTCGCGCACCATGTTGGGTAGAGACTCTGTAATCAGAAACTGGCCATAAGAGTTGTTTAAATTCCTGCAAGTGAGAGAGAAACATAGGCTACCTCACTCTTCTACGATCGCTCTCACTCGCAGGAATTTGACGAACTCTTATGGTCAGTCTCTGATTACAGGGTCTCTAGCCCCCAGCATGATCAGAAGGATGCTTTGGTTTTCCAATAATTTATAACGCACTTGCAGCATTGATACGTTCACGGAGCCTTATTTTAGCGAAAAGAGGATACGGTGCGCGCCGCATGTACGTCAGTTTTCGTGGACGGGTTTATTAATTAGGAATCACATATTTTGCGTCGCTTAATCGATCGAACGTTCTACGTGGGGGAAGCTAATAAAATTTTTATGTAACATACTCCTTTGTGATTCTTCCTGAGGCCCGAAAGGTCATTAGAAATGAATTACGAGGTTGGCTAATCGATTGGAAACTCGAAAGGGTGGTCGTTAATAATACCAGGACGGAGCACCGATTCACATAGAACTGTATAAAGAGACACGCTTGTTCGTGACCATGACTGTAAGATCTCGTCTTCCTGTTTGGCCTTGGCACGCGTCGGCGGTCAATGTGGGCAAGAAAAAAGGCGCGGGGATCGTTTTCCTGGCACGATGCCTGTCTCGACTAAATGAAAAGACCCTTACTTGGAACCATTATACTTGCCGACACTTCTCGCGCGTACGTTTATTGCGCGAAAAGTTTCCAAACGCGGTAGACTCGTGGCCTCGCAATCTCGCGAATTTCTGACAGATTGATCCCGCCTAGTCCTTTAATTTTATCACAATAGATTCGCATCTCCGCATGTCACAGATATTTTATGAAATGTCAGAGAACGAATAAAGAAAATTAGAGGGAGGTCCAGGTTCATACCCTGGCTGTGGTAATATTTTTCGCAACAAATTTAAAATATGAAATATTTAGACACTAACACCCTGTGACGGCTCTTAGTTCTTTATTCCTTCAAATTTATGTTTATCACAATTGAGCCATACTTTTATTAATTTGTTAAAATTGGAACAATATCATTTATTAAAAGAATAATGTTATTTTGGTTCGATAATTTCGCGGTTCATAATTATTTTATAATTTTATATACGGCCTGTTGATTATGGTTTTAAAAATAGGAGAATAAAAGAACTCGGCGGAAAAGAGCTATTACGTAAAATAAAGTAAAAAGGTACGGCAAAGAAAGTTTCTCCCTATAAAATATAAAACCGTTCGCCGTGTGTGCGAGTTACATCAACCTTTTAAATTTCTTTGGTTCTTTTAGCGCGACATGCCGCTCGTAAACTGAATTCAACAAGTTTTCATAGCGGCCATCCCGGTGTGTAATTTAATTCAATACCGTGAAATATATTCCAGAAACGTGCAGAAGCGTTAAAAGTAAGGGGACGAAATGCGAGGTAGATACATTTTGCAAAACGCGTGTTCGCTATAGATGCCACAAAATTATGTAGATGTGACATATAGTCGGGCAATTGATTTGCGAGAAAAACATACCATGTAAGAACGTTCAATTTGTCTTGGTAATAAAATTAATGGGTCTGTCTCCAGTAATCCAAACGTTAGAGGTTTACCGATCGCGTAGGGCATTCTCCCCGACCCACCTGTATGCTTCTTGCGTAGTTGGCTTTCGACAAAGGACGCCTATGATTTCTCAGACAAGAAACAGTTTTCTTTAAACGACACCGACTGCGAGAACAGTTTATACACCGACTGTCCCATAGAATATTATACCAATAACCTCACGAAATAATTGCAACAAATATCGATCGCACACACACAAAAAAGTGATCAAATCACTCTCTTCGGTCGCTAGCTGGTCTGACGGACGCACCGAGAAACTCGTGTACATTCGTGTTCCACTTTTAGAAATGGCCTTTCGCAAATCATGATAATTTCAAAGTGAAAACGAGAGGGGGACCAACGGACGCGTACGAGAGGAACGGGCCGCGCGCGTCGCGTCTCGGCCATTGGCAGCGGGGCCCTACCTGCATGCTCCTGATCGCATGCCAGGAGATCCCGGCACGATCCTCCGAGGCGCCCGTTTACGTGGTCCAGGATTACGACGGGTGCTCACGGCACGCTCGGTCTCCTCGAGGTTCGAACTGCGACTGGATCCGGCCGCGCGCGCGGCAGCAGGACCGTGTGCTTCGCCCCGCGGGGATTGCCAGTGGTCCGGCGGCCACGCGATACGGGAAGGGGTAAAAAGCTGGGCGGCGGAGGACGGACGGGGGTTGTTTTCACTGTGCCGGTCGGGGGTTGAGAGTGGTGGTGGGCCGACGCTTATCGGGCGCGCGGGCCGATGAGCCGCGTCGGCAGGTGGAGGAAGATCGGTCGCGGCTTGTCGCCGAATTGAATTTTTCAGGAAGAGCCCTTCCAGCACGGGGGTGGGGGGGGGAGGAAAGATATGCCCATCGTTCATTCTACTAGTTTAATATTTCGTGTCACCGAATGCGTGACTCGTACGCCGTTGTGCATGCATAAGCTTGATCCTCGAAAATGGACTTTCCTCTTACGCTACAAAGCGTGTGGTCGCTAATAGACCTCGCGTACCTCGCTCGTCCCGTTTCTTTCCAAATTATTCATACGCACGCACACGGATTTTAATTACTTTGTACAGATTCAGGCTAATTTTCCTTCAAACTACGTAAGGCTTTTTACAAAGCTGTTGCTGCAATTAACTTTTACATTACCGTAATAATTGTTGAGGCGAATTAAAACGAAAAATAGACTGTCAATTAAATTTAATTCAGCAAGAGGAAGAATCTGAGCTGCTGAGACAATGATTTTAATCTGTGCGTGTCCAGTAGCGAGACAACTTTTCACGAACCTGAAGTCTAACAACGATCAAAGATCGTTTTCACACATCGATATCTGAATTCAATAAAAATTTAATGGATTCAGTTTTATTTTCCCGTTTCCGGCTAATCGAATTTATCTCTCCCGTAGCAGCCGATTCGATTGATTGTTAATCTACGTTCCAATTACATTTTGGTAATTGAACTAATTACGCCTCTCCTAACAGATGGGAATACGAATGATCCATCAATTGCTGTATTTTCGTACATTCATCAAATGGGGATTAAACATTTACCTGGATTTCAGTAAGTGCGTAAATTAAAGCGCGTAAATACATTTTAACACAAACATACGATAATGATAAATACAATATCAAATTTTGATCGCACGTCGTTGATATTGTATTATCGCCACGGAAAATATTGCACTTATTGTCACGGACGGACAAAAATCTTACAATTTTCTAGAATTCCCTTCCTATTAATAAGACTCTTTCGAACGCTCGCATAGGACGTTCTGTTTACCTATAGTTAAAATCCAACAGAGTAACGCGGCCAAATCCAGAATACGGAGTTTTAGTTTTTCTCTTCGACATTCAGACGACAGTATTTTTGAGTTAAACACTTAGGGCCAATTTCACGTTAACTGTTAACCAGAGTTCAATCAACTTTCTATCTTTTTCTATTTTGTTATCTAAGAAGAGACAGAGAATCAATTAACCTTCGGTCAGCAGATGACCGACGTTTGTGAAACTGGCTCTTAGAAATTGACGACCATCTTGTAATTTGAGGGACACGAATAAAAGGGAAAACATTGTAAAAAATCTTGCATATGTTAATACGATTCCCTCCCCACATACACATATTATTATGTGTTAAAATATTAATATTTGCGTTTGAAAACGCAAATGATGGCACATTTTTTTAAAGCTTGACAGTGAGTGAGATTCGCATGAGAAATAAATATGTTATAAAGTAAAATAGAGAACGAACAACTGGAAAAGAAATCAAAATTTTGACCGTTTTGTTTCAACAATATAAACAGTTGAAACTGAAAAATGGGAAGAATTATGTAGTAGACACGAATGTAGTGTAAGAGATGTGGTAACAATGCTTAAAACTATAATCTTTCGAATCTGTTTTATATTATGCATTAATCGTAAGGGTATTCTTCAGAACAATATTGCATCAAGATATATCATTGTAATAATTGAGTGCTGGTTCCTGTCTGAAAGAAACTTTTGAGCATTACTGTCGCGAAACTACCTTATATGTGCTGACCGAAAAACGGACGTAACGAATACTCTTGTCGAATCGTGACACTATCGTGTAACTTGAGTTTCAAGACACGTGCGGATTAAGTCAGTACATTAATAAAAAATAAAAAGATGAGCATAAAATCGGATTTACCGGGGATTTTTGAAGAAAATGCAAAGAAAGAACGGCAGCATGTCTCTTTGATCGTGGAGATGTTACGCCGGACAAAGACAAAGATACAAAGCTGCCTAGCTCGTTTTATTTTATAATTTTATAAATTAAGAATGAACAGAGGAGCTTCTATCTTCTATTAAATAAGAAGATAATTTTGCGATGTATGTAAAAATACAGACAGAACTCGGTAAACAAATAACAATGAGCGAGTGAAAATGCAAAAGAGTGTTATTGATGCATCGAGAATCAGATCGACTCGAGGAAACTGTCAAGGTTGGCATCTGGAGGACATGACGACATATCGAGGGCCTTCAAAATTTCGAGCACACAAGTTTAAAAATATCTCGCGGTGCAAACACGAGCTTCGTGTCCTGACGAACTGAAGGGGAAGGGGTAATTGCACAGAAATCTGTAAGTGCTGTCCCATTTCTGTTTCAGTCGCTCCTTCAACGTCCTATTCGTGTTGACAACGCGGCGAAATTAATCTGGAAAAGGGCGTCCAGCAATCTCTCTAACTATAAATCAGTGACTATTCACTGTTTTCAGTGATAATCCACTGATCGACTTAGAGAGATGGAACACGCAGGATAAAATATGAAGCGGATAATGAAACGTGCTGTAACCAGGAAGAAAAACCGCGTACATGCGGTGGTTGTGATCAGGATAGATATAATTAATTTATTATGTCACGGAGAGAAGCCCGAGAGTGAACCGATATAGCATACTGGGTGAAGGTACAGAATAACGCATGCTTGCCGAGATATACTCGCGAAGGGTAGTACTGACCATTAGTACTGTCCGCGAGAATAGAAATGGAAAAGTCGGTAGCGTATGGGAGGAACGTGATTGTGCTACTTAAAGAAGAGCAAAGGAATATCACGAGAGCGCGAGAGGATTGCAGGAGGACAATGCAAAGTTTAAAAAAAGGGGATTCGCTACCACGAGACGAGAACGTTCAGCAACGAATGATTGCGAGGAAAATGGGATCGTTCGGAGAATGCGCCGAGACGAAGATGGAGGGAAGGGACGAATAAAAGAATTGGAAAGAGAAAAGAACACGCGCGGTAACAGACGAGTACAAGTGCACGACAGCGAGACTTCCCATGCTATCTAACTGCCCTTATCTATACATCGCTGCGATACAGAGGTGAAAAAGATTCTTCAAGATCCCTCGGGAGAGCCAAAGGGCCCCGCGAGGGCACACCTCGAGGTCTCGGTAGCTCCTCGCGCGCATACGATCGAGCGCAGTTGGCCGCCAGCGCCTCTGATTTCCCAGTCCATCGACTTCAATAACCGGATGCATCCCCGAGGTCGCTAGACTATCGCGATGCAGGAGATATCGGATCAGATGCACCGTTGGTCACAGGTGGAGCGAAATAAATCGAATCAAGGGGGCGAGGGGACGACAAGGTAAGACGAGGACGCGACGCGGCCACGTGAGGTAGGGGACGAAGGAGGACGCGACGCCGGCGCGGCAGGAACCCCGTAGGTCAAGGTCACCACCGTCGGCCACGCAGGGGTGAGCGCGCCGCGCTAGCCGCGTGTACGGCCCTGGGAAGTCCCGCTTCTAACGCCGGCGGCTGGTCAGCCTCGTGTGCAGGACGATCTTCCGACTCCCCTTCGACCCCGCTGAAATCGATATACCTACACCTATTCCCGACAGCCCGACCGGTCCGTGTGTGCAGGCAAAACAGGGCTGCGGATCCTGATGCGCCACGCAATGCGACTGCAACGCAATTTTGCGCGGCACGTGTGCCGCTCGTCGCGCGTGACTTACGACGATAAACGAGCCGAATCGGACGCCGAAGACGGATTAAACGGAAAGAAATCGTCACCGTCACACGGTTTTCACGCATAAATGGAAAAATGAAAATTTCGGTTATACATCATCTAAAGTGACAATCGATGATGCCAAGTGCATCATATTACATGATCGATAAGCCACAAGTCCTCGGAGACCGCATCCGGTAAATTGAATACCGTCGAAGTCACCCATTTAGTCTTAAGACGTAAAGATCGACAGTCAAGGTCTTGCGCTAGGGAGGGATGAATATCTCGAGGGTGTATGTGCTTACGAAATTGTACGTCGCTTACCGAGATATTCTATCGATCATCGACAGATAGATATGACGCTTTCAATTGATTACACATAATGCTTCATTTAGAGAATCTCCCTCGCGATGTTATCATCTCTCACACTGATAGAAAAAAATGTAGTATTTGAAACTATAATTGCATAGTAAAATAATTATAGTCAGGAATATCACTTTTGTAGTAATTATTACTACAATATTAGTAATAGCAACCATATAGACACAGTGATACCAACTATAATACAATTACATATAGTTATTCGAAATTTTACTTGTGGTTGTTATTGCAATATTTATAGTACTCTTATCAAATTAAAAGCTCGTTTTGTTTTATGACTACCATATCGTAAGTTGCATGGATCAATATTGCGTCTATAAGAACTATAATACATTGTTAGGTCAACCATAGCTTACGTAGTTGGAAGAATTATAAAAATGTGGTTGATTCCTAAAATAACTATAAATTATAGTAAGATTGTGGTAAATGCAACCATTTTTTTCTGTCAGTGCAGATATGTATTATCATTTATTAGCTGAAAAATATCTTTCCGGAGAAAAATCATATTCTTTTCTATTAGATCATCTTAGGATTCAGTTTGAATATTTAACTAGCGCGCCGATCGATCAAACCCGTCGCGAGGAATAACAAAGAAAGAAATTACGGGCGTTTATGCGATGTGAAGCGAGAACAAGATCAAGCGGAGTTTTGCGCTTAGACGGGCAAGATTTAGTGAGGCCATTCGGTCAACTGCACGAACTAAACCGCGCAT